GGTGCTGATGAAACAACATATATGGAAGTTAAAAAGAAACCAACAACAAATGGTACAACTCGATCAAATAAACCAACAACAAATGGTACAGCTCGATCAAATAAACCAAAACATGAACTATTCAGAAAATATCGTAAATAATTTCACCGGTGTATATGTATATAGAAAGAAAAACCAAGCAAAATTCGAAATATTTATTGAAAAAGTTTTTGTTGTTTGTAGTCAACATGGAATAAACTGACAATTGTCATGATTGAATTAATAAAAAAAAAAAAAAAAAGAAAAAAACAAATCTTCGTAAAAATCAATTCAATTTACATTGAATGTTCATATTTTATGTACTCGGAGAAAATCAATATAAATATCTAAAGCATTAAAAATATGTTTTTTTTTTCTATGCTATTAAATATCCAATGCATTCTATACGAAAATTTCAAAGATGTACTATGAGAAGAAGATTTCTGAAAAACCATATACGATAGATTTCGAGTCCCAGACGATTATGTGATGATTAGCTTTTATATATGCAATTTTAAATGCGAGATTTATTATGACATTATGAAAAACACATTTTGTGTTTTTTTGTTCTTTTTGTGTGATGCTTATAACCTTTTAAGAGAATGTTGTACGAAATGTGATGATTTCTCATTTTCAACACATAAGAAGAAAATTCTGTAATTACCAATAAATGACGAAGAATTTTCTTGGAAATTCTTATAGCTTCTATATTATTATATAGACTGATAACTACATTTATTCATATTAATGTTAAAGAAATCTTAGAATTTCTTTCTTATAAATTCGTAATGATCAAAGTTTTCTAAAAACTTTCTGATCATATCTTAGTAATTTCAAAAATCTGAATACTGCCAAAAACCTACCTTTCATAATCTATTTTTGAAATCATAGTATGAAATATATTTAATATGAAACTTTATTAACTATTCAAACTACTACTTACATTTGAGTTATATCTTTAGTATAATAGGAAAAATGACACTAAGACAGGATTTTGTTGCTAGTAGTTTTATTTTTAATTGCCTCATTTTCATATAGCAAAGTATTGAAATATCCCGTTGGCACTTATTGATAATGTTTGAAATATTTCTCAGTAAATAAATACAAGTTCAGATCTGAATATAGAGGATGACAGAGCATTTCAAGGAGGACTCTCAGAATAAACAATTACTTTTCTAAAGAAACTGATTACTGTATAGATAAATATTTTAAAAACGAATAAGAAAGGGACAAAAAAATAGAGTTCGTGGAAATCTGAGTGTGAGAGTGTCTTCATTATACTCAATAAATACACAGGATGATAGAGGATTTCGAGTGCTATCAGAATATATAATTACTTCCCTTAAAATGTAGTTTTGTGTTTGGTGATATAATTCTACTAATCTAAACGTGCAGAACTTATGTGCTGACGGTATAGATCACTACATTGTTTCTAATAAAAGTAGTAATTACTATCGTTAAATGATTTCTTGCAGCATTTCTTTTTTGTTATCTTCTGATAGAATAACTCATATGAAGTAATAAAAAAAAGGAAATGATTTCTTTTGCTCGAAGCTTCTATTCACTAGATAAACTTGTTGAACAGAAAAAACAAATTTATGATGCAAACTATGCTGTCATCGATCCTTCTCACTCTTGTCTACTATCTAACATCAATGATTTATTATGTATATCTGGAATGATGAGTTCTTCATCTGATGTCATCAAAAAAAAGAAAAAGAATAACGGTAAAAACATGAATACATTGCAATCATCATCTATTATGTAAGAAGTTCATATTATAGATGAGTCATGTTATCATGAGATTTGAGCCTTCAAATGATTCAATAATATCAATTAGATTAAATGATCCATGAAAAAGAATACTCCTGTTCTTTTTTTTTTTTTTTTTTTTGATTAGATAAATAGATATATATATGTATATGTTGTTTATATTATTATCAATCGACTAAATAAAGAAAGATAAGTAAAAGAACCATAGAAACATGAACATTTGTTTATATCAAACTTCTTGGCATTCTCTTTCTAACAAATGTGTGTTAATATCAATTGTATATTTAACATAGAAAAGTGATGTATCACATTACAAAAGTGGACAAATTATATCAAGATTAAAGAATTAATTGTTGACTTTTCTTTTTTTACACATCAATCTTTTATTATTATTTCTGATAATTTGTTTCTTTTTTTTTGTTCTTTTTGAATCTTCTTTGATCTTATGCATGTTACACACACAAATAACTATTCAATATTTTATTGATTGATTGATTGATTTTGATTTAGACAGGTGAGTTTAATTATATTATAATGGTAGTAACCATCACGTCATCATTTTTCTCAAATCGTTAGTCAAATAACAAACAAATGCATGTTAGTCTAATCCTCGAGACATGTTCTCATTTGTTCATCATCGACCATCTCTATTAATGTGTATTATCTCTCTCTCTTCTGCCGTTCATGCAAACAGATATACACACATACGCCAAAAAACAAAAAAGTCAATTATGTAGATTACATTGTTCGATGAATTGATGTTTGGTAAGGAAAAAAAAATGTATTAAATGAACCGTTATTATTAAAGTATTTTTTAGTGACATATCAATTTATTGCTCCGAATAATAAAATCCGAATTAATATGTTCAATTTTTCTTTCTCTCTTGAGCTTTTCTTTTTTTTTTTTTTTTTTTACATCATACTTGTGAGATTGTAGTTCAACGGTGGAATTGATATATGCAGATGAAAAGTATATGTATGTGTGAATGTACTCGCTAGAGAATCAGCATGCTTACTGCATCTGAGTATTAGTTGATAAACAACGGTAATAGAAATAGTAGCATCAACTTGAATAATCCTCTATCAATCATAGATAGTAAATATTGTGTACTTGTTATATGATTGAGTATCCTATTCATCTTTGTCTGCTAAAATTTAACATCTTTTTACTTATTCTCTTTAATCATTTTGATTGCACTCAATGTGTCCATTTAAATTGTCGTTTTTTGTCAACGAGTTCATTAAAAATTGATGAACATAATATTAATAGTAAGTGGTAGTAACAACAAAGTATATGTATATATATGTATGCATGTTCTATGTTGTGAATATATTGTTACCATTTTTCTTTTTTTTGCTTTTTAATATAAATTTATTATATGAAAATGAATAGATCTTTGATTGAATATAAAACCTTGAAAATACTTTTCATGATTTTACAATGTCTCGATTTCATGCTTAGTATGTATTAGTTTTTTTTGGTTTATTCAATTTACGAAAAAAGATGAAGGTTATCTTAGACTAGTACAGAGGCTTTAGTGCTTCAATCTGTACATACATCGACATATAGAAGAAGAAAAAGAAAGAACCTCAGTTGTTCTTTGCTTTCTTTTTTTTTTTTTTTTGCTTTCTCTATACATATATTTATTGCTCATGATATGCCAGAAATGCAAGGATCTGCTGTCTGTATATATTAGTATCGTCATTCCTTTGAGATTCGATATAGTAATAGGAAATCTCGAAATTTAATAATCGTATTTATTTTTATGCTAAAGAAAAAACAGATACTATAAATAAAATTTTTATCAGGTAAGTTGCATAATTAATAAAGGTAAGACATATATTGATTAGAAAGGAACGGTTGGATCTCCCTTGATATATGTATCTGGAGAGTGTGTAAGGATATGATCATACTTTCTCATCATTCAACTAAATAATTAATGATGAGTAAATTTCACGCTTAAAAAACGGTTTGATAATTTCCGGTGTATGAGCGTGTGTGTATATTTTTTTTCGATTGAATGAGTTTTTTTTTCGTTTAAAACTAACATACAAAAAAAAAAAAAGACAAGTAAAGTTGAACAGAGTTAAGAACAGCTGCAGAGAATTGATTGTTGCATCATCATCAACATTCATTGCTGTTGTTGTCGTGTGAAGTAAGCAGAAACCATAAGAGAGAAAGAAAAAAAGTAAAATGACACACAGACACATACTCATATATATGTATATGAATAGAAAGAGGGAGAGAGGGAGAGAGAGAGAGAGAGAGAGAGAGCAAGAGAAGAAATGACCATCGTTGTATGTATAAAGGCAATTCCATTTCAATCAATGAATTGGTAAGCGATTATTATTGTTATTGTTTGAATAACTCTCTTAGATGAGACACTTATCATCATTCTTATCGAACAGACATTTCATTCTGCTTGTTGAGATATCTTAAAACTATATGATTATAAATTGAAGAGAGAGAGAGAGAGAGAGAGAGAGCAAAGAAGAAATAAAAAAAAAAAGATGAAGAGCACACAATCGAAATATATATTAATAATATAGAATAACTGAGAGTCGAGACGTGTCACTTTCTTTTTCTTCTTCACACATTTGAACATTTTGTTACAGGTATTATATACTCAGTAATCTAAAACAATACATGCGCATGCATGTTTGAAGTTAGTAAGTGAATAGTATTCACCTTGACCTTGACCTGTTCTCTATGATAAGGAAAAATGAACTTACATGGCATTCATTCAAACGTGCCATACATGCATTCAAGCCGAACGCCATATTCTAATAGTTTTTCAAATACAGAGTAAAAAAAAAATCTGCTAAAACAATATGATGAAATAATATCAATAAAGAAAACGAAGAAGAAGAAGAAGAAGAAGAGAGAGAAAATAAGAAAGAAATCATTTATATTGTTTCAATACTACACTCGATGATGACACAACATCTCCATGTATAACATTGATGATTGTATCGATTGTGCATCTCACAACACTTTTTTTTTTATTACATTTAGGCTTGGGTAGTCGATAGATCGATTGCATGGCACTTTTACGCTATAGTAATTATCTTTTATAGTACTGTTTCTCTTATATTTATGACATAATGAACAATAGAAGGACTCTTAAATAATCTTAATACTTCTAATGTAAATTGTTTTTTTTTCTATTCTATTCAAAGGATATGCATAATTATATTTTAGATTTAAAATGTCAATTATCTTATTCTATTTAACACTTTTATCATTTTCATTAACACAAGCATGTGATATGTTCGTTGGTATGACATGTACATGTTATGAATCAATTGATATACGTTGTACAATGTCAAAATTAACTCCATTAACATTTATATCATCATATGTAAACAAAAATTTTCAATCAATTGATTTAAAATTTAATTCAGATGAAAATATTCAACTTGATTCAGATTATTTTATTTTATTAAATCAATTATTTACAAATACAACACAATATTCATTAACAATAACATTACGTTTTCAAAATTTTTATTCATTTTATGCTAAAACAGGTACATTTCGTAATTTATTTAAAGGAATAAATACTCCATATTCACGTTTAATTATTGAATTACATCCATTAAAAGCTAAATCAATTATATTTGATCATAATACATTTGATAATATTCATGTTAATGAACTTTCAATTTATGCTGATTCATTAACATCATCATTTGAATCTATATTTAATAATACAAATATAATGCATTTAAATATTGAAGGAGCTACTGTTACACATGATCCATTACTTTTATCAAAATTTACAGGTCAAATTCAATCATTAAAAGTTACTCGAATGATTGATATAGTTAATAGTGAAGAATTTCCACCTTTTCCAGTTCAATCTTATACAATTGAAGCTCATAAAATGAGAAAATTAGATGCTTTATCATTTTTAAATTATAAACAATTAACTGGTTTAAATATAGTTCAACCAGACGTTTCAATTACACCGAAAGTTTTAAATGGTTTAGAAAATTTATCTAACTTACGATCAATTTCTTTCGATGCTGAACGTATTGCAGATGGTGCATTAAAATATGTAAAACATATTCAAACATTAATTCTTGGTTCATATTTAAAAATGTTAGATAGTGAAAGTATAAATTCTCTTATATCTTTACAACAATTAGATGTACGTTATGTACAATTTTCAACATTACAAGCTAATACAAGTTGTGCTTTAGCTGATTATATTAATCGAAGACGAATGTTAGGTTTAACCGTTTATTTACCACAAGAAAATATTGATTGTGATTGTATATTAGTTTTTCTTAATAATATGATTGATGATGGTTTACAATCAATAAAATGTCAATCAATAAATAATGATCGTTGTTTATTTTCATCATGTTCAATTGTATCAGAATATTTTACACGTAAACAAAAAGAAAATGAAATAATTCAAGTTAATACACCATCTATAATAACACCATCAATTGTATCACCATTAATTGATTTTAATGAACAAGATTCACAATTTTATTCGAATTCAAAAGATGAACGAACAACTATTAAAATTTATATGGAACCAAATATTTATGATGATGATGATGATGATGAAGAAAGTTTTACGAGTACTCTAAGCACAATAACAACAACAGCAACAACAACAACAACAACATATTTCATTAATCCCGAAGAATCTGTTAATCAATTTTCAACACCATTGATGAAACGTCTTATTCCTGAAGCAAAAACATATGGATCTACAAATTATTTAATTGTATCATGGATTCCATTTGCTATAATAGCATCATGTCTTTTTCTTTCATTAGTTATTGCTATGGTTAGTTATATTATTTATCATAAACGACATACTGTTTCATTTAAACTTATTCCACAAACATTACCTATTATTTGAAATTGTAAAAAAAATTTTTATCTTCGATCACATCTAGTCAGAAGATAGGAAAACAAGAAGAGATGAGAATGTAAATTTACGTCTTGTTGATTCATATAGTGACTCTTCAAAAACAAAAATTGATTATACAGATTTAATTTCGAATTTTTTTTTCTCGTAATGATAATTGACATAAAGAATCCAAATTTCTACAAAAATTTATTTTGATCATATAGAGTGATGAAACAATGAATTCTCTAGAAAATAATGTCTTCGAACTCTTTACAACATTGTTTGATTGAACTACATCAATGTATGTGAAGAATTCAGAGACATGTCATTTTCTAGCGAATTCGTTGCTCTATTACTCTATGTAATCAAAATAAACTTTTGTAGAATTTTAGATTCTTTATGTCAGTTAGGATTATAGAAAATAGTCGAAATTAAATTCGAATGATCAAGTTTTAGAGTCATTGTAGATATACATATACTCATCTTTGTGATATAATTAATAGCATCATAACAGTTTCATATTGACCTATATGTATAATATTCAATACGAAAATTTTCTCATTATGTTGGAATAAGTCACCATTCAGTATTCTCATTTGTGTGTGTTATTTTCTTTCTTTCTTTTTTTCGTTAATAGTGAATTGTTGTATCTATATGCAAGTAAATATTTGATAATAAACTTATAACGAAACTCTTTTTTTTTTTTTGTTTCTTTTGATTTTAAATAATAGAATAGGTTGTGATCAAAAGTCGAATATTAAATATTTATGATAGACTTTATATGGATATATATCATTTATGGTGAACAACAATGAGAATTGCCCAAGAGGAATTCAGTACTTAACATACTTCAACGAAATGTCAAATTTATTATCAACGTATGTCACGAACATATTGGTTTGTGTTTATTTTATATAAAGCTGTGTGGTAATGAAGTTCTTTGGTTTTATTGCCGAACATAGACGTTGATAGTAGACTTAGATGGCTAAAACGTCCTAATTCTATCCTTTTTTAGTGAATTTTTGCTGTAGGATCTACGTTAACAATAAGACGGTATTTTTGAATTTCGATCTGAAATTTTGCCCACATAAAGGCTTGCACTAGACTGACTTTCATAACAAATTTTAGAATTTTTGGACGAAGGCTCTCCGAGATATGATGTAGATCTTTTACTAATGAGACACTTGATTCAAAAATTCGGAAATTTTTTATGTAAACTAGCCTAATTATGATCTTTACAAGGGAGAAACAACGTACTCCCATACTCCAACTCCACTCAATGAAGCACAAGAGTACGTAGCTGACCCTTTGGTTGTGTATCTTATGTTATCGGATGAGTTATTCCAGCTACAAAACCGTAAAATCACTTGTCAGAGATTTGAAAACGATACCCCTAAATGATGTATATTGAACGGTCAACTTACGAATGTATGCTAACTTTGTAGTTGAACAGACAAAAGAACTAAGAAGAATTTCACTGATAGTGCTGAATCCCATACAGCCAAAGGTCAATTGACATAGCTCAAAAATTGATCATGTGATTTTCTAATGATTTACAATATATTTTCTAGCACTACCAAATTTGCATGGAACTCAATCGACTTTATACATAAAGATAAATCTTTTAACTATTTATTAACGAAGAAAAATTGTGTATAATTTTTAAAGTCCTTTGGAACGTCAATCATTTTCCTTTTTTTTTCATAATCATAGACTTTTTTCGATGTATGTGTTTGCATGCCACTTGATATTGTATAGAAATATTCTCATTGTAATTTTTGATTCTTGTTCCCACGGTCGAACATATATATCGCTTCACAGTAAAAGTATTCGATTACAAATCAAACTGAAACAAAGACGAATATTTTTCGTTTTATTATCTATTAAGTAAATATTATATTGATTGCCAGATTCTTGTTCAAATATAAAGGAAGAAATATGTGGTTACTTTTTTATCGCTAAATTGTCTTATCATTCCGTCTAGATGTTTCATTCGTGCCATCGTAATTAGCAAGTTAAGACATGCATTTCTTTGTTCTTCTCTCACGTACTTCAAGGTGAATTCAAGTAATAATGATGGATATACTACCAAAAAATCTTTTAAAACGATCTTTTTAAATTTATTATTAAGGAGATACTGTACTTTTAGGATATTTTTGTTAGATCAAATCCATGATACCTCTCTCAAGAACACCAGAAAAACTAATTTTCGAATTTCGACTTGAAAGGACACCACCGTTTTCCAAAATCTATCCAAATTCAATGAAATTTGGGCCACTAGTAGAAATAAATGAGATAAACTTACCACAAAATTGTCAGCTCGATATATCTTGTTGAAGAGAAGTCATAGTGGAAATATTACTGCATGAAATTAATGTAAAAAATAAGACAAATTTTGTTTAATATGATTCTCAAAAGGGTCACCTGTGGTATAGATTTCATAGAACGAAGGGTGTCGGTGTGGGCATGTGTGTGGCGTGTGGGTGTGGATGTGGCGAGTTTGTTAGTGATTCCTCTTCACGTGTACACCCACTCTGATGAGCCAACACCAATAGTTAAAGAAATAGTGTTAACCAAAGTCGATGATTGAGAAGGTTCAATAGGAACAGAATTAGAATTAGAAAATGTAACTGATGAGAATATTGTAATAGCTGATGAACGAGGAGATCTAAGCAAGAACATTTTGTTGAATATGAAGAAAAATTTTTAAGGTTACAAAAATCTTATCTTTTTTCTTGTGTTGTTTCACATATTTGCTGTTCATTGCAGAAATGTTTTAGCCAATAGATGAATTACATCGGGTTTTCGAAAGAAGAAATTTAGTCGAAATACGCGCCATCTTTTGAAAATTTTATACTTAATATCAGATTCAGCCTCCGAAAATCCATTGCAATTTCAAATCAGCCGGGCTCAGTCCATCATTCTCTATCCAAATAACTTCGGCCCATGGATTGCGCTGGACTGGCCGAGTCCGACCTATTGAAACCTCTGGTTCAGACTTACTCCACTGTTTGCTATAATTACTCCGAAGTCTTTTCGATCGATTTATCCTAAAAAATTTAGTACTGTCTAAGTTTTGAAAATCCATCTTTCGCAAAGGCCACTATCTCAAAAAACATGTTTTTTCGGCAATTCTAATACAGTATGTCTTGATGTCTTTTAAGTTGAAATGAGTCGAGCATATTCACAACACCACTTACAGTCTCTCTGCAGGGGCTGCTTACCGTCTTGCTTTTCTTTTCATTTCTGTGCTTTCTTTGGCTTATTTCTTTATTCATGTGAAGAAAAGACGAAATAAAAGAAGCAATGAAATAAAATCATATTTAAAATTGTTCACATTGAATGATACACGGTGCATGAGATCCTTAGAGAATTAACACAACATGACGAGTTTATCTAGTTTATCAGCCAGACGAATTGAAAGAATCCTCATGATTTTTTTTACTAATCTTAATCATGACTATTGTTGGTTTTTTTCTACCTTTCTGTTCTTCATACTTCTATGTAATTTCGTTCGGTAGTAGCAATCTACTATTACTCACTATGCGAGATTGGCAATACAGACGAAGAGTGAAAATAAACATCATTGAAAAAGGCAACACTTGAAAGAGAGCGTCGGTTGGAAAAAACCCAACAACTTTCATTCAGCAATTCATACAAAATAAACTTGATCATTCATCAAACATTGAACACTTAATTTGAGCGTAAGCAGACTGTCGGCATCATTCGATTTTTCTTCACTGTGTTACTAAAGATAGTTAATATTCACACATTTTTTGAGAACAAGAATAATCGTGATTGAATCAATCAATGCAGACGATGGGAAATAGGATAAAAAATGCGATTTTTTTCTATTGCATATAATTCTGTTCATTAGAAGATATGACGAATACACAGGAATAACAATAAAAATAGAAGCAGGCATACAAATTAATATCATTAAAAGGGTGAGGGTGTGGGTTCTGTTGAAGAGAAGATCCATATCCGCACCCAAACCTGTCCACACCCACACCCTCAGCTTCGGATTTTTCGACCTTGTAAGTTTCGGGGGCTCCAAAAATGAAACAAAATGAAAATCAAAAAACTCCTTTCCCTCATTCGAAGCGGCAGGGAGTCCTCTTCCAAATAAGACCAGCCAGAGCGCTGTAGCTTGAAGTACATTGAAGCAGCATCTGTACGCCTGAGAGCCCTATTTCGCACCTTGGTCCCTGAATATCTCCCGAACGGTATGGTATAGAATCGTGAAAATTTTTTTATGCATGTACTTCCATGGGTTGAAGACCCTCAGAAAGTTTCATGGATATCCCGTGTACCTGAACGAAAATTGATCCTTGGTGGAGAGGGAAAGGGGTATAAAATAGCTGTAGCAATGTCGAGCAACATCATATCATCTAATACCAAATCGAGCAAAAGCAAGATGCTTGATGCACCATCTATACCCAGTTATCTTCTAATGATTACCCAGATTAACTAGTTCATTATCGAAGTGTGCGTACAGTCATAAGATGTTAAGAAACGCATGCGACTTCCTCATTGTGGAATAATTTGAATTGAGTAATTCTTTCTCTTTTTTTCTCTAGTCAATAACAGAAATTCTGCAGCGGTATTTCTTAGAGGGTTTTTTCCAAGAAAAAGAACGCAAAATGACGATGCAATTCACTTGTTCTTTTTTACAGTTACTTTTATAATGCATCAACGTCACCAGATACGACGTGTATAATGGTCTATTCGAACTGCTCACCATAGTACGCCATTAGATATTGAAAAATTTCCAAGATGCCTTCACGATACATCGATCTGGATGAACATGTGAACATAGAGTTCGGTATTGATGCCTATTGGCACTCCCCTCTTGTATCGCTAGAAGTCGCTACCCGTCCTGCGCTCAATCTTGTCGACAATCTCGCTGATTCTGTTGCTATTGCTAAAAAGCGTTGCTATGAGTCACCTCACGGTTTGACACACGATGAATCAGCGGCAATTTACTTGTACACTATGGAAACAGGTTT